GCACTTGAAGTATTAATAACTACTTAACTAAAGCATGTTTTATAATAATATATCTAATAATATAAGATACCTTTAATTTATGGTAAATGTTTATTTTAAATGCAGGCTTATTACATAAATGAAAGGATTGATTGGTGAATTTAAGAACTGAAATTAAAAGAACAATTGTGGTAAATGTCTATTTTTAATGCAGGTCTATCACATAAATGAAAGGATTGATTGATGACTTGAAGAACTTAAATTGCAAGGATAAAGAGATGGCTAAACTTAAAAAAGAGATGTTGGTGCAATCCAAATTGGAACACTGTTCGGTAATTGGGTCACATCTAGAGTTGTAGATCTCAGATTTAGGTCTACTTTATATGGATGGAAAGGTAAGACATAGGCCTACAAGATATAAAAAGGTCATTTTCAAGTCCAAATTATAGCAACAACAAACAAGTCCAAATTTGTCTTCTAGCCCGAGCACTATTCAGTTTTTGGTCCATATCTGGAGTTTTAGTAGTCCAAATAACCTGAATTTTTTACACAAGAAAGCTGAGACAATTGCCCACAACTTTCATGTTTGCAACTGGCTCCAGTTTTGACGTTATCAATGACGTTTTGGGCAGACAAAAGAAGATAAGGATTGTCACCAAGTCAAAAGTTGGCCACCCACTTATCAATTAGTCCAAGTGGTTCCAATTTTGACGTTATCAATGACGTTTTGGGCAGACAAGAGAAGATAAGGATTGTCACCAAGTCAAAAGTTGGCCACCCACTTATCAATTAGTCATCAAATCAATAGTTCCTAATTTTGGCCTATAAAAGGAGGCATTTGCCATGTTCTTGACCGCTTTTTTATGATCGGCTTGTTTTAACTCGCAAGTGCACGAGTGTGCGATGTAGCAATTAACTTGGTAAGATCGAGGTCATATCCACAGAGAGCTAGATCTGGAAATTAAGCTAAGTAACAAAAAAAAAACTCAAGAGAAATTAAATTAACAATAACTTGGTTGAAAATAATTGATGGATTTGTTTTCAAAGATAAAAAAAAAAATGTAAATAGATTTTAAATGACAAGAAAAGTAAGTCTTGGTCCAAATCAATTTTAATGGTGATGTATTGGTGATTTCTTCAACATATATAAGATAACTCAACCTAATATCAACGATGGTGATATTAGATCGGAAGATATTACAATGAAGATTAGAAAGATGAAGATTGATTATTGCTTAAGAATGAACAAGTACTTTCATATTAAGTAAGACATTGAATCAAGCAATCTCTATACCAAAACTAAAGTTTGTGCATAAAAATTCAAGATTATAACATAACCTAAATGATTTCTAAAATTTATTTACAATAATAAATCATTCATGAAGAAAATAAGAAGATAAACATTAAGATTCATTCATATCCTAAAGAACTCACCTCAATCACCATTATCCTTGATTTGGATCCAAGAAAGAGTTTAGCCAACCATGATTATATATAAGAACACTTCAATAAACATGAAAGAACTTGAATCCAACTGAAAAAATAAGTTTTACAAACTAAAGAACCGAAATCTATAAAGAAGAACACAATACAATTTCAGAAAAAATTCGGACACAAATCTGACTCTAACTTTGGACAGCAATTCGACCCTCTTAGAAGCTTTTTTTCGAGAAGTCTATTAGAGACATATTTATAGGCAATTCTGTCACCTTTCCAGATCATTAAAGAACAGCTCATTTGGACACCTGAGTCAAAAGGTATGGGCAAAACACCGAAAGGTGTTCTGAAAAATCAAATCAAGACAGCTTTACAACTACTTTGGTGCACATTTTTCTTCCTCATTTATGAGGTGTCTCCTTCTTCTTTTTGACCCAAAATAATGTTAAAATATCCCCTCCAGCTTTCCATCCATGTGCTTGCCTTCTTGGATCAATGGATTACCCAAAATAAATCAATTGTTATTTGTTGTGTGGACATGTAAGATCATGGATTGTGTTTGGGTTAGTTTGAAGGTTGATTTGGGGTTGATTTAGGGCTGATTTTGGGCTGATTTTGGGCTGAATTTGAGCATCAAATAAGTATACAAATGTACTTATTATTTGGGCTAAGATTGACATTGAAACCTTGAGTGTTTAATGGTTGAAGTTTGCACACAACATAAGGCAAGGTTGGGCTTGAAATAAATCATATACTATTCTTTTCTAGAATTGGAATAGAATTGATTTTTGGGACAAATTTGGAGCACTTATTTGAACCAAGATTTGCTTCACTCTTCAACTAAATGTCTCTTCAATTCTTTGTTCTGAATTCCGACGTTGAATTTTGTGAATTAATTCATTTAAGCTCCAAAAACCTATCGAAACATTAAAACAAACTTCATTACTAAAAAACACATCAATTATTATAAAAACAACCAAATAAAAACAATAAATACATATTAAAATAAGAGACTTAATGACACTTTTGATGCACAATCATAACCCACACCTGTTCTATGAAAGGAACTTGATTTATTGTTAACATAAGTTATAATCATGAATACCTGACAACATTTACAAGTATTAGCATTATTCAAATAAGATAACTAATGTAATCATGTTAACAATTTATAATCTGATTGGAACCTTCTTTGTATGTAGTTTCCACTTGAGTAATAAGAGTTTATACTATATTTGTCTGGAATACCATTAATGGATCCTTTAATCTTGACATTTTTTTTATCATTATTTAATCCTTATATTAATCTTACATCTTAAAGTCCTCTTTAACTTCTTCTTTTTCTTATTATTATTAGTACTACTATTACTACTACTACTACTATTATTGCTATTATTGTTGTTGTTGTTATTGTTGTTATTATTATTTATAATTTGTATAGTTAACCTATATGTGGTTCGATCCTGGTCTTGTTGGGTTATTTATTATTTCGACACTCCTACATTTAGAAGAAGACGTCAATCTTTTATCATGTCACTGTAAAAGATTCTCAATTTCAAAATTGTTCAACAAAAACATATAAGAATAAAAATAGTTATTATGATAGTTTTAAAACCTAATTTGGGTATTGATCTAGGGTATAGCTGAGGTCACAAGTCGGGTTAACCTGAATCATTGTAAGAATAAAAACAGTTATTATCATAATTTTTAAATCTAATTCAGTTGTCGATCAAGGGCAAGTCCTAAGTCACAAGTGGGGTTGACCATTGATCTGGGTCAACGTAAGGACAAAAATGGTTATTATCATAGTTTTAAAATCTGACTTGGAGGTTGACCCGAGATAAAGCCTGGGTCACATGGTAAGAGGTTTAACTTGCCTTGACCCTGATCAATCTATGGATGTACGTTGTTATTATTATAATTTTAAAATCCAACTAGAGCGTTGACTAGAAGGGTTAACACAAATCGATCTGAGTCAATGTATTGATAAAAGTGGTTATTATTATCGTTTTAAAACCCAACTTAGAAATTAACCAGAAACAACTTTTAGGTCACTGGTCGGGAGGGTCACCCGACTAACCAAAAAAATCTAACTAATCAAATAAACCTTGTTTTACCAAAAACAATTTCTCAAAAAAGTCAACAGGTATTTGACTCATGTTTTATCCCAGATTAACTTAGATTTTTGACTAAGTCAAGTTGAGTCAATTTTTTCTCTATTTTTTCTTAAACTTGTACTAGTTTAGGCTTTACAATAGCCCATCAAGTTAGTCCTATTTTTATAACTAGAATTATTGTAATATTATTAATTTTGACTCTCAATATAAACTAAAGTAATATATATGTATTTTATTAATCTCACTTTAAGGTAAATTTGGTTATTGTTCAGGGACAGAAAAGACGGAGGCAATGGACACAAGACAAAAAAGAAGAAAAATACATAATTGTATTTGATAGTGATGTGTAGGACAAAGTGACTATTTATATATATTTTTTTTGTTATAATGGACAAGACATAATAAAATATAAAAAAATTAATTTTACCCTTATATTGTTATTAAACTTACATATTTTAAAATAATTAAACTTTGGGCATTGTTGGTGCTTAGTAATATTTGATAAACAAAGTATTATATTGTTTGTTTTATGAAAAATGATTTTTTAAAAATTATTTGTAAAATTTTTTATATTTGTAAAAAAAATTTATATTTGTTTATTATTATAAAAGTTGATCAATAAAAAACATTTTTTAATTAGAGAAATTTGATATGATTTGCAGAAAAATAATTTTTTTAGCAGCAAATACTTTTTAAAAGTTCTAAAAAATTTAAAAATATCTTATTATTTTTTAATTATATTAAATTTGATCCCTAATTTTTTTATTGAAATATGTTTTATATTGATTTTTTTATTTTTTTCAATTTCAACCTATAGAATTTGATTTAATTTGATTTTTATATCAACTTTTATAATTATTTTTTTATTGTTATTTGTTTTTTCTTATTATTTTCTTAATTAAAATTTTTTATCTATTAAAGTTGATCATTATTTTTTAATTACTATTTATTTTATTTGATATAATTTATAAAATTAAAATTTTTATTTTATTATCTTTTAACTTTTTTATCTATGCTTATTTTTATATTGTTATTTATTTTCTTTGAAATATTTTATAAAATTAAAAAAAATAATTTCATCCATTTTCAACCAAATTTAATCTTTATTTTTTTATTACTATTTATTTTATATAAAACAATTTGTAAAATTAAATTATTTTTTAATTTTATCTTTTTATTTTTTATTTATCAAATTTAATCCTTATTATTTTAACAAACTTGAAAAAAAATTAAATTTTAAAAAGTTATTTTTCTATTTATTTTTCATGATATAGTTAAAGATTATAATATATTTACCAACTTATTTTTCATACTACTACCAAAAATTAAAAATAATTTACTTAAACAAATGGTACCTAAACATAAGATCAACACAAACTTCTATCTAACGGTAAAATTGTCACATGGTACAAGTGTTTCAACTAAGCACGTGTGTTAAACTCCTTGGACCTGATTACCTACAACCAATTACTGCAAAATCCAACCTGGCCAATACCATAAATTAGAATTTGTGTTTTCACAATTACAAGAAACATTCTATAACCATTTCAGCCTCCTTGTATAAATAGCAAAAAGGAGATTGCAACAACAGAATATCCATCAGTTTTCTGAGAACAGCTACTCTTACTAAGAATGTAGATGACATCTCTCATATCAAATTGCCATGAATCATACCATTTTCTTGTTGGAAAATCTCTCTATTTCCGGTAGGGATGAAACCTTCCAGTAACAGCAGCACCACCATTTGCACTGCCTCCATACACCTTATTACTGCCATAGACACCACTAACAGCATCACCATTACCATATCTTTTACCACTACCAAAACCATCACCATCACCAGTTCTCCCATATCCTTTACCACCACCATACTCAGCAGCATTGTTGTAAGCACTTGGAGTACCATAACCACTTCCTCCATATGCACCAGCTCCATACATCATTGGCCCACCAAATCCAAATCCATAACCATATGCTCCATAACCACCATAAAAACCAGCAGTGCTTCCAGGAGGATAGCTTCCCCCATAACTGCCATAACCACTATAACTATCATAGCCACTGTACCCACCATATTCTCTGCCCATTTTTTGACCATAACGACCTGCTGAACTATTGCCAGCACCAAAACCACCAGCAACATTTCTGAATCCAGCATAAGACTTTGTTGCATTGCCATGATCACCACCAGTTCTCTTTGGTTCAGCCTTCTTTATTTCCACCTAAAATTTATATTCAAGGGCTCAAGTTATTAACATCTCACAATGCCACATCATAATCATCCAGTAGGATGACAGGGATGTCATTTTTCAGCAGAACTATAACCTACCTGTTTACCACCAAGCTCATGTGTTCTGCCCTCTGAAAAGATTTGTTCTACAGCATCTTCAATGTCAAACGTGACAAACCCAAATCCCCTAGACCTTCCAGTCTTATGATCTAGCATAATCTGGTGGTCAACAATGCTACCATAAACAGAGAAGTATTCCTTTAATTCATCTGTAATATAACAACAAAGCCCAAAGAGAATATCGATTTAGCTCATTTAGAAAAGAGAAATTCAATATGAAAATTGAGCTACATTACCTTCAGTCAAAGATGGTGGTATTCCACCCACAAAAATTTTTTTTGTTCTTGTTATTCCTTTAAACTCTATATCTTCCCTTGGAACTGTCCTCTTCACCTCCACCTGGCAGAAGAATGCAACAAAGTAAGCTCCCAAGTTACAAAAATTTCCACTTTTATAAAGCGATGGATAAAAAATACCAGAAACTTGGAAATCTTATGTTGTCAGGAAATGAGTGAGTGAATGTTACCGCTCTTCCATCTATAACATGGTCTTCCTCCAAAACCCTATCACCAACTGCAGGGTCAGCAAATGTTACAAAGCCAAACCCTCGTGGCCTTCCAGAATGTCTATCCGTCATTATTACAGAGTCCATGACTTCTCCATACTTACTAAAGTAATTGGTGAATGTTTCTGAAACCAAAGAGATGTGATAGACATTAGCATTAAAGAGATCCAAAGCTACCTAAGGAGTATTTTATGACAACAGACAACAAATCAGGCTTAACAGAACAGTAAAATGGACTGGGAAAAAAAATGGACACTGCTGAAGGAGAATTTACTGGCCAAGGATAACAAATCAGAAAAATTGCAAACAACAAAATGGTGAAACAAAGAAGACAACATGGCTAGTTGATTTTAAGCTCATTGGTCTCAGTTTCGCTCATGAAAATTCACAAAACCAGAAACTGGATCAGTTCTCATCTATCCTTGTCATCTATTCAATTTTATTTAAGTACCGATAAGTTTAGAAAGATGAGCAACAAACTCCTTTGGTAGTATGCATGCAAGCTGACAACTACCCTTGTAGCTGTCCCTGATGCTGTAGAACTAAGCAGCAATCCCTCACTAGAGGAACGGCACATCTTCTTCAAATTTCTAGACCAAGTGTCAGAAAACTAGCTCGCAGCAATTAAGAAGGCAGGTAACCGATTTCCCTACATTGTGTTCATGAGAGATCAGTAATACTAAGAGTAAGAAAAAGCTCGGCATGATCCCAATTGCTAATGGATTTTGATCATGATATGACCTGCCAATAACTCAAATAACAGAACCCATTGCTGAACCATTCCATAGACTTAAATATATTGCAACTACAGAAGTAAATTAAAAAACTATAATGCAATCCACAAAGTTCTCTCATCATAAACAATCAAGAACAGTCACAAATTGAATATCTAGACTCTTTCCAGAGTGAAATATCGCAGTATGGATTGACAAGTCAGCACTATAAATCATGATTAAACCTCAATGTCGTCACAAATATCCCACTAAGAAACTAAGAGAAATGCAACAAAATAACACAAATTAGCTATTCAAATTGCAATGGATTGTATGAATTGAACTGCCCAATTCAATCCTACAAGACATAAATAATTCTAATACAATAAATTATTAAGATAATAATAATAAAAAAGTATAAAAATTTGAAATGTTACCTTCAGTAGTTTCCCAGGAGACACCACCAACAAAGAGTTTTCTACCAACAAAAAAAGAAACCCATATATTATTTCCCCAATCACAATTATTGCGGCGACAAATGCTGCAATCGGCTTTTGATTTCAGTTAACCCTCTAAAACAAGAAGAAAAGCCAAAATCCCCACAACATACACAGATAGAGTACAAACTAACCCTGCAGATGAAGAGTCACGATTGTGGTGATGATAGTGATGATTCATTGACTGATTTCTCTCAATCCCTCCACTGCCTATTTCTCCTTCCTGTTGTTGCTGTTCTTCTTCTTCTTCATAATAACCTTCTTCTTGCCGCTGCTGTTGTCGATTGTCTTCGTCACGGCCATCAAAGGAAATTACGTTATCTTCATATTGCCTTTCTTGAAGTGGATAATCATAATCCATTGACATCGTTTTGACCTATCAAACAAAAACCTGCAAAAAAAACCGAACCTCGTTTTTTTAATTCTACCTAACCCTAACTACAAATACCCTAAAATTATACTAGCCTAGATTGATTAATTGACTGAACAGCTCTACTAGATAGGGTTTTGACGATGCAGGAAGAGGATAAGGATTCGATTTTGAAGTAGCAGAGAAACCCTAGTATTGCCAAGAAACGGTGCCGTGCGAGAGAGAGAGAGAGAGAGATTCAAATTGAAATATTCGAACTTCTGGAGGTTAGATGTATGCATTTATTTATTTAATTGCTTTTGAGACAGAACGACGTCGATCTGGCTCGCGGCCGTTAAAAAGCACATGCATGCCCACCGTGTCATGTTTGACGGTCAAAAAGAAACAGGAAGCCAAATTTCATGTCCAGCCACGAAAAGAAGCGTGAAATAGATGTCCTTTTATGGATTCATAAAAGAATGTTTCACAAACCCATATTTGTGAAGAAAGCTGTTCATCATTTCTTACCGGGGGATTGTAAGTTTATTTTTCACTACAACTTATTATTTCAAGGTTATTAAATTATCATGAATGCATTCATTTTAATTAATTAAATTAAATTTACATGTACAAAAACTAAATTAATGTTAAAATAATAATAATTGCCATGAATCATAAGAAGAGGAAGAGATGAACATAACTCAAATAGTTAAGTTCTAGATTTGTTTTTTAAAATCACTTGTTGGAGTCTCGTAAACCTCAGAGTCACTAGAGACATATATGGTTATTAGTTTTAAGGCCTGTGGAATCAGTTGAGATACATATAAACTAGTTCGGACATCAACATTAATTAAAAAAAGAATAAGAGATGAACATTAATATGAGTATGAGTCATTACTTACGGATAGCTTACATAACTTTTTAAATAATTTGGTTATTTCAAGATCATGCAACACTAAAACTTCTCTTTATAATTTATAACTTTTTTTAAACATATTTTTTTAAACCACAATAACAAAAGGCTACCAATAATATCAATCACACACTTAATAAGCTAAAAGGTTTACATCATGATGTATCTCATAAAAAGCTTTACATCAAGATAGGTCGATTTCCCCCTCCAATGTCCACCTAAAGCACGTAGTTGGTTTCCTTTAAGTCTTTCCTAGCATAGATCAGCCTGATACTATCTTTTTATTAGTTTTACAACACTTCTTGAAAAGAATATATATATTGACAAGATATATAAAGCAGTGATGTTATATATCGGGGGAGTGGAATTAAGGGTAGACCTTCTACTTCTAGAACTGGATTATTTTTATTTGATTTTGGACATGGATTGGTTGAGTAGGCATAAAGCATAGGTGGATTATTTCACTAAAATGGTGATTCTCCGAGGAATGAGTAATATTCAAATGGTAGAAAAGAGTAGTACCTGCTTTATAATCTCATTAAAAAGGGGAAGTATAGAATTGAAAAATATTCCTATTATGAGGGAATTTCTGGATGTATTCCTGGAGGAATTACCTGGGTTGCTGACATGACTAAAAAATTGATGTCTTCCCTCAAGTACAAGAGTATCGAAGTAATAAATAACCCGGCAAGACCGGGGTTGAACCACAGGGAGGTTAATTGTATAAATTACAGATAACAATAATACAACAACAACAACAACAACAACAATAATAATAACAATAATAATAACAATAATAATAATAATAATAATAAAGAAAAAGAAGGAGAAGAAGAAGAAAAAGATGAGAACTTTGAGATGGAATATTAATG